ATCTTAGTTTTCTTGATGTTAAGGTGCAGTTCAATTTTTTCACTTTCATCTTTGACTCTCTGGATTAACCATTCTAAATTCACCTTACTTTCCACAAGCAAGGTTGCATATCGGAGGTTGTTGATATTCCTACATCGATTTTAATCCCAATGGTAGATTCATTCAAATGGGCATTTCTCATAACAGTTTTTATGCACATGTTGAATAGTGTAGAGGTGACAGGATATAATCTTGCCAAATGTCCTTTTCAATTCTGAACCATTTTGTTCTCCATATTCCGTTCTTAAAGTGGCTGCCTGACTAGAGTACTGAATGAGTGAATGAGCTGAATGTAGTGAGATGATGTTTCCAGATCTTTTGAGGCAGTTTCAGAGCTTGTCATGGTCACCACACTCGAACACTTTTGTACGATCAATGAAGCTCATATAGAGGTTTTTTTGGTATTCCTTTGCTTTTTCCATCATCCAACGTAGATTGGCAATATGATCACGTGTTCCTCTTCCTTAAAAAAACTGCTTTTACATCAGGCAGTTTTCTGTTGGCGGTTGGATTCAAACATTGCTGGATTATTTTCAAGAGAATTTTACTGATATGTGGTATCAAGCCCACAGTTTGGTGGTTCATATCACTTTTTTTTTGGTATTGGGATAAATGTTGATCTTTTTCATTCTTTTGACCACTTCCGTATACTTTGGCAAAGCGCTGTCAGTGCTTTTGTTGGCAGTGGTATCAGCAACTCTGTAGGAATTCCATCAACTCCTGAGGCTTTATGGTTAAGCAACTGATTGTGTGCCCACACTTCTTCCTCCAGGATATCTGGTTCCATTTTTGGTAGGTCAGCTTCTTCTCTTACAGCTTGGTCTTATTTTTTGTTTGTGTAAAGTTGTTCTGCATATTCCCACCATCTTTCTCTGATTACTTGTTGGTTCCTGTCCATCAAGTCCTCTGACTATAGCTTTTCTTGACATAAACGGGTCTCTGGCCTTCTTTACATACGTGAAATACTCTGTTGTACGACCTCTCATGGCTGCTTCCTCTAATTTCTTACATTGCTCAGTCCAGTATTTTATCTTTCTTGCCTCTCTCTGGAACTTTGCATTTAGTCTTCTCATTTCTTCCTGTCTTTCTGGTGTAACCAATGGCTTTTGCTTTCCTTTTCTCTTTTGCAGTCTCTGTTGTACCATATGATATCCATCTGGCGTATTTTGCTGGTTTTTTTTGTGTATAATATGTTCTTGAGCTACTTTGGTGACGGTTGTTTTTATTTCCTCCCACAGCTTAAAATAAATAGTTCTATTCAAAACATTCGTTTGATTTTACCTATGTCCACTTTTTCATATATCCTCTTTGTCAATTTTATTATCTATTCTGCTTGGGTAGTAATCCTTCCATTGACTGATGGAAATTTTTTGGCTAAAAAAGAAGTCTGTTTTGCTTTTTCTAGAAGAAAGCTTAAAGAATTTAAATTTACATTCATATTATGAACATATGTCAACATAATCTAATTTTAAGTCTTATTCCTTCTTTTTTATTTGTTTACTATTCACGGTTGTCTTTTGAGCTGTCTTAGATACTTGCAATACTCTTAAGGAAATCATTCATTTAAGGGTTGTAGCAAACATTCATGGGTATTCTTCAAGAAGAGGGCATCTCATCCATTCCATTATTTGTATTTGAAATGTTCAGATGGAAGATATTTTCGTTTAGGATAGTGGACCTAATTACTTAAAACATACTAAGGAAGAGTAACTTTATTATTTTAGGTTTTCCACATATTTGTCCTTGCCGGTCCATTGATTTCACATGGAGAAAAACATAACACTAACACGGATGCAGTGAGAAAAACCTGGTTTTATAGAACTCTGAAATAAACGTCTGCCCCTAGGGATCTCAGTGTTTTAAAAAGACATTGTTGTGCAAAAGTATTTTAATATGACCTTGAATCTCTTCATTATAAAATTATATTTTTGGAAACTTAAAAAAAAAGATTGTTCATCTAAATTAGTTGACCTGAATTCTTCTGTTTAAAACAAAAACAAATAAAACCACCTTCAAGAAAAAAAGTACTACAGTATTTAGATTGATGGTATACAATGAATATAAACTTCAATATTAAAGAAAGAAGGTTCTGTTTGTTTGTTATTAATAGAGCTGCTGTTCGCCATACAGTTGGACACACACATGGAATTGAAGAGTTCCATATGGCAGCCATCATTGTGTGTGGAGCCTTTGATGTATAGTGATTAACTATATTTGGCGTGCTTTGCTTTTAATGTTGCCATATTTGCTGTGGAGATAATTTGTCTATGGTAACAGTTCCAAAACTGCTTAGATCAAGTGGTGAGTGGTTGCACACATAACAGTCAGCCATGTGATGACAGCCACTACATGGAAATGACACATTTGCATGGTGACTGTGACTGCACACAAATCCCTTAACAATGGCCAAACCTATAATTAAAAACTGTACTACAGAGCGGTACTAGGTTTAAGCCATAGTTTGCCAGAGAATTAATTATTTCCAGAACTCAAGAATTATCTGGGAATGCCAGTTATGAAAAAAGAATTATACATGATTTAGGTTCTAGAAAATAACTGACGGAGCATGCAGGGGAAGAAGTTTCGAAGGAAGACAGAATATATTTGTCATAGGATTTATGTTCTTATTTCTTTCATTCTTTTTCTCTCACCTGTGTTGTGCAACAGTAGACTTGACATTTCTATGTGGGATGAAAAAAGATATCATATGTCCTTTTTATTGAAACAAATAACTGGTTTCAGGAGGTTGCTTCTGACTTGGCTAAAACTAGATTTCACACTACTTAGCTTTTGCCAACGTTGTGTAGTAAACATTATTTTGGTTGTGATGAGCTTCCTTACTATATGTGTTGAGAAACAAATCTTGAATTTTTTCCTAAAAGCCAAATGGATAGAATTGTTGTATTTTAATTATTTTATTCTTGTAGTTATTGCTGTTTTGATAGATCTGGACATGGATGGAAATAGATCAGTATCTGGTTGTGTAATGTTTAATTTTCAGTTGTGTGGGTTGAAGATTTGGACAAAGTCTATCACATAGTGTCTCAATCTGTTTCCATCTTTATTTATGAAATCTGCCAGGGGTGGGTTGGAAATTTAGACCTCCGAATTGATTCATACATTCTTCAGTAGGCATTATTAGGTTCATAAGGAGAATTTTAATTATTAAAAATAATAGGAATACTGTGCTTTACTTGCTAATTTTGGGCAAAGTGTTAGGGAATGCAGAGGTTTATCAACTGATTCACTGTGGAATTATTCTAATTATTTAGATACATTCTAATTTAGTTTCTGACCTACTTTGGGGCGGAGGCTGCTTCAATTGTTCTGGTGGATGACATGAATTGGGAAATTGAATCCTTCTCTAGATCTTATCTATTAACAATATATCTGCTTGAAAGACCCAGTATTGTGGTGATGCCAGCCCTTTCTGGAAAATTGTTCAACAATACAATCAAAGCTTTGCCACTGTTCATGTTTTATATTATGTTAGGTTATATTATTTATTTATTTTATTTATTTTTCATATTTGTATACCGCCCTACTCCCGAAGGACTCAGGGCGGTGAACAGCCATAATAAATACAAATACATATAGAAGTTAAAAACTATTAAGAATTTATTATAATAAATTGTTGGAGAAAATCAACTGGTTAATGATTAAGATACATTTATTTGTTTATCAAATTTATATAGATACCCATCTCACTAAAAGTGAACGTGGGCAGTGCACAACAATAAGATAAAAACAACCCACTTGCCAAAAAATTTATCACCAGTCCAATTTATCTCACAGGATTATTATGAAGTAGAAAAAAATTACCAGAGATTCCCATATATACTGTCCTGATTCGCCTCTTGTCTTAGCAACTGTATGGATTTTTTTAACCCTTGTCCAGAGACTGATTTGAAATTAAATGAGTTACAGTGGTTAGCTGTATTAATGTAACTGCTCATCTCAAGTAGAGACTTTAGATGGTTTAAAACATTTTTAAAAAATACAAGCACATTATATATGAAACATAAATAACAGACAAGAAGACAGAGCAATTTAAACAAATAACAGCTATATCATAGATTTTAATTAACATTCTTTTAAATATAATTTTATTAAAAACTAATACAAACTAATATAAAACAAGAAAAAATGAAACCTAGAAGAGAGCTAAAAGTCCAGAAAGTGACAGAAAGCAAAAAGGAAAGAAAAAAGATATAAAGAAGTGTCTTCCCATCTTCTTTATACTAGTTACAAGTAATGTAAAATTAAAAATTTATCTCTGATTATTAATAAAATATTTAAAATATTTTAATATTTTAGATATTAAAATATTTTTAAAAATAAACATATGTGTAAGAAAGCAACTGATTTTTCTAGAAATCATTTTATAGTGAGAAAAATAGTTAAGAATGCTTTTTATCTGTGTAGGATCCTGGTTAGCATACTCAACCTGAGTAAGATAGACATTACCTCAGTTATTAGCCCTCCAAATATGTTGGATGTCAATATCTATCATCCACTGTCAGCCTGGCCACCTGCAAGGCATGAGGGAATTATAGTCTGAAATATCTGAAGGACAATTGGTTGCCTAGACCATGGTTTAGTCTAGCCTTGGAAACTCACAGGATAACCTTGGTCCAGCTACATTATCTCAGCCCACCCTATTTCAATTTGTGATAGAATGAGGATTTCATGTTAAAATTAGGATTTCTATCTAAGATGCCTTGACTTCCAGCAAAAAGTTGACTTTATGAAATTCAAAATAATCTGTGACTGTATTTTATGCAGGACTATTCAGAAAGATGAATTGGATGCTGCTGCAAATTGTCGCTGGGAGTCGGCATATTTGTGGTAGGCATTGTATCAGCTGATCTGTTCGTTGGAATTTTTCTGGAACCAATTTCAGTCCTGTTGTAGTTTTTTAAAGGTTTGGATCTACTTATTTGAAGAATACATATATTCATATTACAGGTGGTCTTCACTTAATGAACATTCATTCATTCAGTGCACATTCGAACTTGCAATGATGCTGAATAAATAGCACTTTCAACTGGTCTTAGAAGTTCCAGCTGCTGCAGCATTCCTGCAGTCATATTATCATGACCCAAGTGGTTGAGGTCTGGCTTGCAATTATAATGTCATGGATTCCTATGGTCACATGGTTATCATTTGTGATTTTCTTTCCGTGTTTCCTACCACTGTGTGTATGTTGAGATTTTCCAAGTCTTCTACAACCAGTTAAAGATTGTGATAGCTTTGATCTAGAAAAAAAAAGCTCTAATGTTATTCTTTTTTTTTTTATAAAAAGGAACAATTTGGAATGCTCATTTCTTATAGTGGCACTAAAATTAATAATTGGAAACAGGTGGATATCTCCCTGGAAATCTCCCTGGCCAGATTGAATGGCATTAGAATTGAGATAATAATGGCTAAGAATTTGAGCTATTTTTCTTAAGTTGTGAGCCAGATGATCCAAGTGATAAAAACATATTATGCCACTGCGCTACTCTTAATTACTGACATTTCTAAAACAATGAAAGAGCAAACATTAAATCTCATGTTACTCAGTAACATTCACCCCCACCCTCCAAAAAAGTATGGGATCAATTCTGCTTCTTAAGAAATAAATACCTTAGTCAATTTCTGACCATTAGCTCAGATAGAACAAATGTAACTTTCATGATTTATAGGTACCTGAAATAGATTTCAGATCTTTAATGTTGCTCTTAAATCTATGTTACCATCAGTTTGACACATTTTACTTTAGCTCAATTCCTAGCAAAGCTTAAAGTGACATTGTTAGTCATTAAAGACATGGAACAAATGTACTATGTGAAGCGCTTCCTGTTTTTTGTGATATATTTCTTCCTTTCAATAGACAGAAAATGAAGATAGTGCCAGTTTTTGGCATGTATTTTCATGCTACTTGAAAGCTGTATGATATGAGAAATTTGTGAGAAACTAATTAAAAATCGGAATCTGATTGCAATAACAAGTCTGCTAGCTTAAGCCTAACCTCTTAATTGGTTTTTTCATGGACTTTTAACTATTATTAACCATTACTTGTTAGCCTTGCTATGAAATAGCACGCAGAGTTCTTGGGAGCATAACTGAAATATGGGTATGATTATTTGGAATGATAAAAATGTATGTATTTGTGGTTTCAGTACATGGGTTATACGAATACTTGAGCTGTCAAGTTTTTCAAAGTATTGGCAAAATGATGTCTTGAGATTTTGGCAAGGCATAGAAGAAGCTTGTTAATTAGAGTGGTTAATTGCCATGTTTTGATTCCATCCTTCAGTTGACACCAAATTGCTGAAAATTTCATCTGTTGGAAATGGGAAGGCATTCAGATTAAGTATTCCACTTTACAAATGCAGGAGTTTGTGCTATGTACATTTAAGGCATGTAGCCATACAAAATACAAAATCTGATGTTGTATTTGAGGTCCTGATAATCAGTCAGATCAACAATCTAAATTCTTAAGCTCTAAATGAACAGTCTTCAGGCATGTAATTCCCATGGTGAGCCTTAATGAGAATAGACTTTTTTCCCTCCACCCACTTACACCAGGAGCAGGCAGTGGAGTACTGATTGATAGCATTATGCCCACAGATGCCTCCTGTAGTTCATTCCACATTCCTACCTGATTTTTAGACCCCTTTCATTTAACAATGCTAGAGAGTTGGTGTGCAGTAAAAGCCCAGCCTCTACTGTATCTTTATTTAGGAAAGTGCCTCTGGACCACCTGTGGACACTCTAGGCATTCTTACAAAATGATTTTATAAAATGATGGGTTGTAGACCAGGGTTAGAACAAAAGTATTCTGGGAATTTGTGATCCTGGAGAGCTAAAAGGAACTGGGAACAGTTTCTCTTTCTGAGAATTATTTTGGCTATGGCCAGCAGAGTAGTTTTATAATAAGTATGTGCACGTCAGTTCATTGGCTGCATACGATTAATCTTCATTTTTTATCTTTATATTTAGACATATAGAAACAGAAAATCCTAAATATTAAATCTAAATTAGACTAAAATTCCAATCTTGAGTTGTTTTGATCTTCGAATGTGTGGAATCAATGTTCTTGAGGACTGAATTACTTGTATAGAAAAGCATGCTGTTATTGTATTGATTGGTTACAATTGTATTTTTGTTTAATCAACAATATTTTTGCCAGTTTAGATGGGTAACCTTTTGCCATAACAAGGAGTAGATTACAAGACAATCTGTTTGTATTTTTATATATCACCTTTCCTCCAAGGAATTCAACATAATAAAGATAGTGTGCTCCAGAGGTGGACATCAGCTGGTTCAGACTGGTTCAGGTGAACCAGTTGTTAATTTTTTTGTGCAGTTCGGAGAACCAACAAATCATACTACTGGCTGGCCTCTTCCCTCCCACTCACTTCTTATTGCGCTTTGCCCACCTTGGGCAATGCCTAGAGTCATTCCAGCGGCAGAGCTGTTGCTTGTCTCGGGTTCCCTCACTTGCCTTGACCATGCAACCCAGCTGATCTCCCCCACACTCCCCCAGACTCTGGTGAGTCTTCCTTCACTTCTTGCCCAGCTACCTCCCCCACACTCCCCGTGGCCCAGCCCGCTTGCCTGCCTTCCCTGCTGCCTTCCTTGCAGTGCCCATGGCCAAGCCTGCTTGCTTGCCTTCCCCTTGGTCCATGCGGCCCAGCCTGCTTGCCAGCCTTTCCTGCTGTCTTCCCCACCGGCGCCCATGGCCCAGCCTCCTCATTGCCTGCCCGCTGGCAAACAATGGATGCTGCAAAGACGGGGCAATTTCCTACGAACCCTTCTGAGTTCCTTCCCTTCCCCTTGGTCTGACAAAATAAAAGCCCATCTAAAGATTGCGGCCGCCTGCCAAGCTTGCCTGGAGTATGCTGGCAAAAGGAGGCTAGGGGGAAAAAAAGAGAAGAGCCAATGGAAATGCCCCATTTTCCACCTTCATTGGGCTATCTGCGCCATACTGGATCGGGATGGGGAGCAAAAAGCTCACTTGGTCTGTACATACTCACCAGCACGACAGACAGCATCGACCCGCCTGTCGCCCCACCATGCCATGAGTGACATTGAATTGGCCACACCCACTCAGTCACATGACCCCCCCCAGCCACGCCCACCCAACCAGTCACTAGGAAGAATTGGTTGTTAAATTATTTGAATCTCATCTCTGGTGTGCTCCCATCTATTTTCTCCATAGAATAATCTTGTTCCAAGACAGGTTAATCTGGGGACACATAATCAGCTCTGTTAATACACTTCAGTCTGTTTTCTACTTATGTTATTTTTGCATGTGTTCAGTTCAAACTTTTCTGCTTTCTGCAATTTATTTATTTCTACCTGTGCAGATTTATTCAAATTGTATATAAATAGTTATCTTCCAGCCTGTCCATTAGGGTTGAAGGTCAAACTGCCTCAAGTCTGCCTCAAACTGCCTCAAGACCCGTGCGCTCCCACAGAGAGGGCCTCCTCGGGGTGCCATCAGCCAGACAATGTAGGCTGGTGACCCCCAGGGGGAGAGCCTTCTCTGTGGGGGCACCTACCCTCTGGAATCAGCTCCCCCCAGAGATAAGGAGAATCCAAGACCTCAGTGCCTTCCGTCGCGCCCTTAAAACCCATTTATTTAAACAAGCCGGGCTGGCTTAAGATGAAATTTTTAACTGTTTTTAAATGTTTTAAACGTTTTTAATTGGTAAATGAGTTTTAATTGGGCCAAATTTATATATCTTTTAATTGTTTTTAATATTTGTTCTGCATGTTTTTTTAATCTGGCTGTACACCGCCCTGAGTCCTTAGGGAGAAGGGCGGTATAGAAATCCAATATAAAATAAATAAATAAATAAATAAAGTAATGACCAACATGCCTGCTGTCCCAGTGCATTTTTAGGGTACTAAGGAGTAGCCCAGGGGTCTGCAACCTTAAACACTCAAAGAGCCATTTGGACCTGTTTCCCACAGAAAAGAAAACACCGGGAGCCACAAAACGTCAGTGGGCGTGGCCAACTCGATGTCACTCACTTTCACCAGGCACATGACCCGATAGCAATGCCTACCCAGCGGTCATTAGGGTAGAGAACCAGTTTTTAAAAAACAACGGGAACCACAAAACCCTTTTGACATCTCTTTCTCTCTCCCTCCCTCCCCCCTCCCTCTCTCTCCCCCTCTCTCTGTATCTCTCTGTCTCTGCCCCGGCTGCTTCTCCATCCCCCACCATCGCCCTTACCTTCTCAGGCCAGGTGAGAAGTGACTGGGAGGGAAGGATGAGGGGTGGGGCCAGCCAGTGGTGGGATCATCCAACCGGGAGCCACAGCAGAGTGCCCAAAGAGCTGCATGCAGCTCTGGAGCCGCAGGTTGCAGACACCTGGACTAGCCCATTTGCCTCAGGTTTCCCAAGGCCACCCCCATCATACTCCATGCTTCACACCCCTTGGATGCCTTACTTGCTGGCCCTTTCCAGCAAGAAACAATGGAAAGAAAATGCTGAGTGTGTCTGTCTTTCCTAATTCTGCTTCTGCGCTTTCTCCTGCCAAGGTGCCCTGCCTTTCTGGGCAAAAAAAACACCAGTTCTCTAGGGCTATCTGCACCAAACAGTTGCTGCTCCCCCAAAATCAGCTGGCAAGTGGAAGATTGTAAAGCTCTCCTGCCTCTCTAGGCTTTGGGAGGCCGACTCCTGCATAAACAGCAGCTTGAGAACAAGCTCCCAAAATCTTCCACTTGCTTAAAACGCTCTCACTCCCCCCCATACCCAAAGTCACATTTCTTCAATTAAAAAAAAAAAATCAGGAGGGGCAGTCTTACTAATCTTCCCTCCTTTCCCCCATTAGGTGCTAAAACTAAACCTCTGCTTTCCGATTTCTATTCCTGTTAAAAACCTTTCCTTGACTCTCGGTTGAAGGAATGAAACCAGCAAGGACAGAAAATTTTTTTTGCAGTTTTTCTCCAGAACTTGGAGAAAAAATGTCCATCTCAATAACTTGTGACAGAAAATGGAGGATGCTGAGTCTTTGCAACCTTCAGTGGTCTGCCTGACTGCTTGTAGAGTCCAGCTTGGAGGACTATAGACTGCCCTCTATAGGAAGTCAAAAGAACAGCTAAAGCTGGCAATGATCCAGCGTCCTCCATTTTCTGGCACAAATTTTAGAAAAGACTTTTTTTTTTTTAGTTCAAAGGAAAAAGATTTTATTTCCTTGCTCTCTTTGTTCCTCTACTTTTTAGCCTGGAGTCAAGTAAGATTTTTAAAAGGGATATT